AGAGGAGCTTACACTCTAATGTCTCCCCACAGTCACACGCTATTATTTATTATACATTCATATAGCTCTGACATATACCGCAGTGCTGTACAGGGAACACTGAGCCAGTCACATCAGTCTGTGTACCAGAGAAGCTTACACTCTAATGTCCTCACAGTCACACACTATTATTATACATTTATATAGCTCTGACATATACTGGGGTGCTGTACAGAGAACACGGAGCCAATCACATCAGTCTCTGCACCAGAGGAGCTTACACTCTAATGCCCCCTCCCCCACAGTCACATCAGTCTCTGTACCAGAGGAGCTTACACTCTAATGTCCCCTCCCCCAGTCACATCAGTCTCTGTACCAGAGGAGCTTACACTCTAATGTCCCCTCCCCCCACAGTCACATCAGTCTCTGTACCAGAGGAGCTTACACTCTAATGTCCCCTCCCCCACATTCCCATCAGTCTCTGCACCAGAGGAGCTTACACTCTAATGTCCCCTCCCCCACAGTCACATCAGTCTCTGCGCCAGAGGAGCTTACACTCTAATGTCCCCTCCCCCAGTCACATCAGTCTCTGTACCAGAAGAGCTTACACTCTAATGTCTTCCCCAGTCAAACGCTTTTATTATTATACATTTATATAGCTCTGACATATACTGCAGTGCTGTACAGAGAACACTGAGCCAGTCACATCAGTCTGTGTACCAGAGGAGCTTACACTCTAATGTCCCCTCCCCCACAGTCACATCAGTCTGTGTACCAGAGGAGCTTACACTCTAATGTACCTATGCAGTAGGGTAACTAGTTGTTGGACTACCACCAACATAATGTTGGAAGATGAATATAAATCTATACATCTCTACAGAGTGTGGCTGTGTCCTTGGGGAGGGGGGGATGGGGCTGGGGCAGTGGACTGAACCCTGTTTGTTTTTCCTGGCCAGTGAGGGACCTTTCATAGTAAGCCGGGTCTGCTTGTGACCCGCTCTGTATATTTCTATTCAGTGCTGTGTACTGTGTATAAGAAAGTCACCTCATATGTGACTGCGCTCAGCACACTGACACAGGATTGGATTCCCTACAATCCATTATAATCCTTTCTACAAATAAACTATAATCAGCGCAGGAAGAATGTGTTTCCATTGTGCTACTATTTCTTCATTCTTCTGTCTTCATTCTGCTACCACGTGTAGCCACTTTACATGGACAAAAGGAAAAACATTTTCAAGCTAAGCTTTAGATAGACTCGTACCGATCCACCATCTTTATGCTGAGGATTGATGTCACTGGTCTCTAGTGATGGATAGGCTGTGTTCTCATGAATATGAAGGGTCTCGGTGATGTCACTGGTCTCTAGTGATGGATAGGCTGCGTTCTCATGAATATGAAGGGTCTCGGTGATGTCACTGGTCTCTAGTGAATGGATAGGCTGCGTTCTCATGAATATGAAGGGTCACGGTGATGTCACTGGTCTCTAGTGATTGGATAGGCTGTGTTCTCATGAATATGAAGGGTCGCGGTGATGTCACTGGTCTCTAGTGATTGGATAGGCTGCGTTCTCATGAATATGAAGGGTCTCGGTGATGTCACTGGTCTCTAGTGATGGATAGGCTGCGTTCTCATAAATATGAAGGGTCTCGGTGATGTCACTGGTCTGCAGTGAATGGATAGGCTGTGTTCTCATGAATATGAAGGGTCTCGGTGATGTCACTGGTCTCTAGTGATTGGATAGGCTGCGTTCTCATGAATATGAAGGGTCTCGGTGATGTCACTGGTCTCTAGTGATTGGATAGGCTGCGTTCTCATGAATATGAAGGGTCTCAGTGATGTCACTGGTCTGCAGTGAATGGATAGGCTGTGTTCTTATGAATATGAAGGGTCTCGGTGATGTCACTGGTCTCTAGTGAATGGATAGGCTGTGTTCTCATGAATATGAAGGGTCTCGGTGATGTCACTGGTCTCTAGTGATGGATAGGCTGCGTTCTCATGAATATGAAGGGTCTCGGTGATGTCACTGGTCTCTAGTGATGGATAGGCTGTGTTCTCATGAATATGAAGGGTTTTGGTGATGTCACTGGTCTCTAGTGATGGATAGGCTGCGTTCTCATGAATATGAAGGGTCTCGGTGATGTCACTGGTCTCTAGTGATTGGATAGGCTGCGTTCTCATGAATATGAAGGGTCTCGGTGATGTCACTGGTCTCTAGTGATTGGATAGGCTGCATTCTCATGAATATGAAGGGTCACGGTGATGTCACTGTTCTCTAGTGATGGATAGGCTGTGTTCTCATGAATATGAAGGGTCTCGGTGATGTCACTGGTCTCTAGTGAATGGATAGGCTGCGTTCTCATGAATATGAAGGGTCACGGTGATGTCACTGGTCTCTAGTGATTGGATAGGCTGTGTTCTCATGAATATGAAGGGTCGCGGTGATGTCACTGGTCTCTAGTGATTGGATAGGCTGCGTTCTCATGAATATGAAGGGTCTCGGTGATGTCACTGGTCTCTAGTGAATGGATAGGCTGCGTTCTCATGAATATGAAGGGTCTCGGTGATGTCACTGGTCTCTAGTGATTGGATAGGCTGCGTTCTCATGAATATGAAGGGTCTCGGTGATGTCACTGGTCTCTAGTGATTGGATAGGCTGCGTTCTCATGAATATGAAGGGTCTCAGTGATGTCACTGGTCTGCAGTGAATGGATAGGCTGTGTTCTTATGAATATGAAGGGTCTCGGTGATGTCACTGGTCTCTAGTGAATGGATAGGCTGTGTTCTCATGAATATGAAGGGTCTCGGTGATGTCACTGGTCTGCAGTGAATGGATAGGCTGTGTTCTCATGAATATGAAGGGTCTCGGTGATGTCACTGGTCTCTAGTGATTGGATAGGCTGCGTTCTCATGAATATGAAGGGTCTCGGTGATGTCACTGGTCTCTAGTGATTGGATAGGCTGCGTTCTCATGAATATGAAGGGTCTCAGTGATGTCACTGGTCTGTAGTGAATGGATAGGCTGTGTTCTTATGAATATGAAGGGTCTCAGTGATGTCACTGGTCTGTAGTGAATGGATAGGCTGTGTTCTTATGAATATGAAGGGTCTCGGTGATGTCACTGGTCTCTAGTGAATGGATAGGCTGCGTTCTCATGAATATGAAGGGTCTCGGTGATGTCACTTGTCTCTAGTGATTGGATAGGCTGCGTTCTCATGAATATGAAGGGTCTCGGTGATGTCACTGGTCTCTAGTGATCGGATAGGCTGCGTTCTCATGAATATGAAGGGTCTCGGTGATGTCACTGGTCTCTAGTGAATGGATAGGCTGCGTTCTCATGAATATGAAGGGTCTCGGTGATGTCACTGGTCTCTAGTGAATGGATAGGCTGCGTTCTCATGAATATGAAGGGTCACGGTGATGTCACTGTTCTCTAGTGATGGATAGGCTGTGTTCTCATGAATATGAAGGGTCTCGGTGATGTCACTGGTCTCTAGTGATCGGATAGGCTGCGTTCTCATGAATATAAAGGGTCTCGGTGATGTCACTGGTCTCTAGTGAATGGATAGCTGCGTTCTCATGAATATGAAGGGTCTCGGTGATGTCACTGGTCTCTAGTGAATGGATAGGCTGCGTTGTCATGAATATGAAGGGTCTCGGTGATGTCACTGGTCTCTAGTGAATGGATAGGCTGTGTTCTCATGAATATGAAGGGTTTTGGTGATGTCACTGGTCTCTAGTGATGGATAGGCTGCGTTCTCATGAATATGAAGGGTCTCGGTGATGTCACTGGTCTCTAGTGATTGGATAGGCTGCGTTCTCATGAATATGAAGGGTGTCGGTGATGTCACTGGTCTCTAGTGAATGGATAGGTTGCGTTCTCATGAATATGAAGTGTCTTGATGATGTAATTGGTCTGTGCTATTAATCCTCTACATTTCAGTGATTAGTCCCCATTTCCTGTCCAGGAAGACCGGGTCTGTCAGTCGCACAACACCACCCTCTGGCAGTGGGTCAGGTGTGTTGTACGTTGCAGACGAAGACAAATTGGCGTTCGCAGTCTGTATGTGTCAGTAATTTTTGATGGTGTTATACTCACGCGATCCTCATAGTTCATTACCTCGCAGTCATTACCAGTGAGGTGGGGATGAGGGAGATGAAGGCTTTCAACAAAAACATTAAATCATTAATCTTGGCCCCAGGCGGAGATTCTCTGCTTTATTAATATGATAATATGTTCTCGTGTTTAACCATTTCCCAAACATAGACAGTCAAAAAGATGCGCAAGAGCCATGAACAGCCCTCACTGCAATAGGAAACTACAGGTCCTGCACCTGGCTGAGAAGCTCCATGTGGAGATAGATGATGTCCAGGGTGGCATTCATCCTCTGCCTGGCTCTGCTCATGTGACCTGAAACACGAGGAGAGTGCCTGAGGCAGCGAGGTACCTTTAATGTAACACCTGCTTCCCTCACATATTCCAATCATTCCTCTTCAGAGCCACAGCTCAAGTAGCCCCTAGCAACCTCGGGAGGAACCCTGGCTGAGAATGGCTGATCTAGAGATTGGCTTTGTTCTCTATCTTAGGACAGCTTTATGTTCCCAGTCAACTGAAATGTCTCAGCCCAAACATATATTTACAAAAGAAAATCACAGAATGACGATAGTACATCACATGTCAGGAGAGAGTGAACAACCCCGAACATGGAAACACCTTCACGGACGTCAAGCTGACCTCTCTCTGAAAATGCTACTTGCCTGTCAATCTTTCAACACCTTGAGTTGCCAACCTGGAAGCAGATAAAGATGTATGACTTTCATATACTGTAGACCAGGAGTATTGACTTAAAATTCAAGGAGGTCCAGTCACTAACATTTTCTTCTGGCTAAGGTCTGAATAGAGTGTGCCCATCAGTATGCCCCCTTACATAGGGTGTCGCCATCAGAGTGCAACTTTACATCATGTATTCCCATCACATCAGGTGTGCCTATCAGAGTGCTCCTTTACATCATATGCCCCATCAGAGTGCCCCTTTACATCAGTTGTCCCCATCAGAGTGCCCCTTTACATCAGTTGTCCCCATCAGAGTGCCCCTTTACATCAGGTATCCCCATCATAGTGGCACCATACATCAGGTATTCCCGTCAGAGTGCCCCCTTATACTCAAAGTACCCCTTTCCATCATATTCCCCGATCAGAGTGTCCCTTTCCATCATATTCCCCCATCAGAGTGCCCATTTCCATCAAATTCCCCCATCAGAGTGCCCCTTTCCATCATATTCCCCATCAGAGTGCCCCTTTCCATCATATTCCCCCATCAGAGTGCCCCTTTCCATCATATTCCTCATCAGAGTGCCCCTTTCCATCATACTCCTCATCAGAGTGCCCCTTTCCATCATATTCCCCCATCAGAGTGCCCCTTTCCATCATATTCCCCCATCAGAGTGCCCCTTTCCATCATATTCCCCATCAGAGTTCCCCTTTCCATCATATGCCCCATCAGAGTGCCCCTTTCCATCACATTCCCCATCAGAGTGCCCCTTTCCATCATATGCCCCATCATAAACGACATATCAGACTGGATGTCGCTCCATTTCCTCAAACTTAACCTATCCAAAACCGAGCTCCTGGTCTTCCCCCCACCCCGTGCCCCCCCATCCTCTCCATCACTACTAACAACGCCACCATCTCTCCTTCCTACCCCACATCCAACTGCTATCTAGATCTTGTAAGCTCGAAAGAGCAGGGCCCTCGAACCCCTCGTGTAGTGTATTGTTACTGTCTTGTCTCATGTTCTGTCCCCCTTGCTACTGTACAGTGCTGAGCAAACCCTTTGGCGCTATATAAATACTGTATAATAATAATAATAATAATATTCCCCCATCAGAGTGCCCCTTTCCATCATATGCCCCATCAGAGTGCCCCTTTCCATCATATTCCCCCATCAGAGTGCCCCATTCCATCATATTCCCCCATCAGAGTGCCCCTTTCCATCATATTCCCCCATCAGAGTGCCCCTTTCCAACATATTTCCCCATCACAGTGCCCCTTTCCATCATATTCCCCCATCAGAGTGCCCCTTTCCATCATATTCCTCATCAGAGTGCCCCTTTCCATCATATTCCCCATAAGAGTGCCCCTGTCCATCATATTCCCCCATCAGAGTGCCCCTTTCCATCATATTCCCCCATCAGAGTGCCCCTTTCCATCATATTCCCCCATCAGAGTGCCCCTTTCCATCATATTCCCCCATCAGAGTGCCCCTTTCCATCATATTCCCCCATCAGAGTGCCCCTTTCCATCATATTCCCCCATCAGAGTGCCCCTTTCCATCATATTCCCCCATCAGAGTGCCCCTTTCCATCATATTTACTACATCACCGACCTAATATACAAGTACCACCCAACACGCACACTCCGCTCCTCACAAGACCTCCTTCTCTCTAGTTCCCTGGTCTCCTCCTCCCATGCCCGCCTCCAGGACTTCTCCAGGGTGTCACCCATCCTCTGGAACTCCCTGCCCCAACCCATCAGATTATCACCTACTCTCCTCTCCTTTAGGCGCACCCTGAAAACCCATCTCTTCAGGGAAGCCTACCCCACCCCCTGCTAACCTGCCGACCTCCTCCACTCTTCCTACCACTCCATCCCCCACAGCTATCTCCTCCTGTGCCACCATCCCCTCCCTTCTAGATTGTAAGCTCGAAAGAGCAGGGCCCTCGGTCCCCTCATGTTTTGCATTGTATTGGTATTGTTCTGTCACATGTTCTGTCCCCCTTTGTAATGTACAGCGCTGAGTGAACTATTGGCGCTTTATAAATACTGTATAATAATAATATGCCCCCATCAGAGTGCCCCTTTCCATCATATTCCCCCATCAGAGTGCCCCTTTCCATCATATTCCCCCATCAGAGTGCCCCTTTCCATCATATTCCCCCATCAGAGTGCCCCTTTCCATCATATTCCCCCATCAGAGTGCCCCTTTCCATCATATTCCCCCATCAGAGTGCCCCTTTCCATCATATTCCCCCATCAGAGTGCCCCTTTCCATCATATTCCCCCATCAGAGTGCCCCTTTCAATCATATGCATTTATTGTTTATCTGGAACCAGAACTTCACATCACCGGGGTAAAGACCTCCCAGTCAGCAATAGATGACAGCATGGAAGAATCCACCCTCTAGCAAGATGGCCCCTGAGAGCGCCGCACGCCGGCATGTGCTCCACTCACCGGAAGTGACGCGGTGCATTGGATGGCGAAGACGGAATGCGTCAACGCGTTTCGCCCCTCCTCCAGGGCGTTTTCACTGCCGTATACTTTAGCACCCTCAATACCTTTCTTGATATTTTTCCTTTACTGTCCGACTTTATTTTTTAAATGATTTGGAACTCCGTTCTTCTAGATCAGTGGTTCTCAACCTTCCTAATGCCGTGACCCTTTAATACAGTTCCTCATGTTGTGGTGACCCCCAACCATAAAATTATTTACCCAGTAATTATAATTTATGAAGTGTCGTTTTACCTCCAATACTGCTGCTTTCAGCACAGTAGCTGCTTTCTACACTGTAGCTGCTTTCTACACAGTAGCTGCTTTCTACACAGTAGCTGCTTTCAACACAGTAGCTGCTTTCAACACAGTAGCTGCTTTCAACACAGTAGCTGCTTTCTACACAGTAGCTGCTTTCAACACAGTAGCTGCTTTCAACACTGTAGCTGCTTTCAACACAATAGCTGCTTTCAACACAGTAGCTGCTTTCTACACTGTAGCTAGCTGCTTTCAACACTGTAGCTGCTTTCAACACAGTAGCTGCTTTCAACACTGTAGCTGCTTTCTACACTGTAGCTGCTTTCTACACAGTAGCTGCTCTTTACACATCGGAAATATGTGTTTTCTGATGGTCTTAGGGGACCCCTGTGAAAGGGTCTTTCGACCCCCAAAGGGGTAGCGACCCACAGGTTGAGAACCGCTGATCTAGAGGGAGATGCAACTTATGAATAGTGTGGAAGGAATTTATAACTAAAAGACACCCGGGTGAACTAGAAAGGATATGGAATTTATTCGCTGATTATATTATATAAAATGGGTGTAAACTATAAATCTACTTTTCAATAAGTTTGGCATCTTGTTTCTTCACATACAGTTTTCTTAAACAAATCGTTTTTTATTTTTTATCAATCTGTTGGAAAGTTTCAGAATCAGAGACCCTGCCAGTAACAGCGCTTCCTGTTTCGGCCTGACAACGCTAAGCCATTGTCTAGCAATTAGCAGCGGCGCTGTTAGCCCGCCACGTATGCTCCATCAGTTGACCAATGGTCTTCTGCAGCGGGAGTGCACACAGCAGGCTGACAACACTGCTACTAATTGCAAGACATTGGCTTGACATTGTCAGCCTGAAACAGGAAGTGCTGTGACTGGAAGGATTTGCTGAAGAAAACTGCATCCAGTGAGGACTGATGGCGAACGTTATGAAAAATAGATTGTAGGTTTACATTGACTCTAAAGACAAGAACCAGCTACACATTCCTCATCCACTGCTATGATCTGTAATGTAAAACTGAAACTGTGATCAAAGGAACGAATATGCATATTTATGATGGGAGGCTCTGCTTCGTGTCACCCTGAAGTTCGATGTGTTTATGCTATAAAATCAATACGAACGACTGCAGAAGAAAATTCTTAAAGCTGAACTCCAGGATTCTGCCTACTTTATATTCCCCGATTCTTCTCCCCGAGCTCCATTAAACGTCCTAAATAGACTCTTTAAAACACGGGTGTCAAACTGGTGGCCCTCCAGCTGTTGCAAAACTACAAGTCCCATGAGGCATTGCAACTTTGCCTCCCCGAGCTCCATTAAACTTCCTAAATAGACTCTTTAAAACTCGGGTGTCAAACTGGTGGCCCTCCAGCTGTTGCCAAACTACAAGTCCCATGAGGCATTGCAACTTTGCCTCCCCGAGCTCCATTAAACTTCCTAAATAGACTCTTTAAAACTTGGGTGTCAAACTGGTGGCCCTCCAGCTGTTGCCAAACTACAAGTCCCATGAGGCATTGCAACACTGACCGTTACGAGCATGACTCCCAAAGGCAAAGGCATGATGGGACTTGTAGTTTGGCAATAGCTGGAGGGCCGCCAGTTTGACACCCCTGCTCTAAAGGGTAACTCCACTTTTGTAAAGAAAAAAAACTTTCCCCTCTGGGTGGTCGATGTACATTACAGAGATTTTAACAAACTTTGCTGCAGATTCCTACCTTTTTTTATTCTGAAGAAATAGCTGTTTCTCTGTGTCCATGTGCAGAGTGAAGGATGATGGGAGTGATTTTATAATTATCAATCAGCTGCTGCACCTGCAGGGCTCTAATGAGGAAAGTGGCAGGGTCTGCATCCCTTTAGACATGATTTCCCTTTGGGAGTATCTCACCAAAAATGAAATGTTTGTTGCAGGGGATAATCAAAATCTGACTTGTGTCTTAGTCTAGACTTCTGGGAAAATCAGTGAGCCAATCAAACAATCAGAAAATTACATTTCTGGGGGGGGGGGCGTTCTGTGTACAGACCGCCTCCAGGTTGCCATATTGCATTTTGCAGAAAATTACAGATTGAAGAAAAAAAAAAAAAAAAAAAAAGGTAATTTTAATAACATTCAATTACAATACGTCTTGTATAGCAATCGTATAATAAATATATATATATAAAATATATATCATTATTATTCAAGATTTATATGGCGCCAACAGTTTGCTCAGCGCTTTCCAATATAACGGGAGACAATACAGCAACAATACAGTTCAATACAAGAGGGATAGGAGGGCCCTGATCCTAGGAGCTTACAATCTAAGATATACATATATTTATTTTTTTTTTTATTTTTTTCCCAATTTGCACTATTTTTATCCCACGAAAATTGGAGTTACCCTTTAAAGCAGACCTTTACCCTACACTGAAATTTGCTTTTGAGTCCCAGCAAAGCCCTGCGGTACATCTAAGTGGATACGGGGGTCCCAAACAATGCTGTTTTCTGCACATGTGCAGAAACTGTCACATACACCAGAATAATAAAGATGGCGGAGAAGAAGGATGGAGGTGCAGGGGCCAAAGAAAAGGGGGACTGAAATTCCTTTTGAAAAATATGATGATTGTAATCTGATGAAGTGATGAATCCCTTTGGAAAAAATGCGATGGGCACTGGGGGGAGGGCATATGCTGCTGCTTCACATCACATGCTCAGAGAGAAATAAGCACTACAGTTCCCACAAATTAATGGGGATGCACAATATGGTGGGTGTGTATGTAGGTGGTGGTCTGGGATTGTCATTTACATGTAAACACCAACATACCACACTGTTGTCAAAGATTTACTGGATGTGGGTGGGACATGACCAAGTGCTGTGCTGATTGTACCCGTCCCGAGAAGGAAGTGTGATATTATTATTATTATTATACAATATTTATAAAGCGCCAATAGTTCGCTCAGCGCTGTACATTACAAAGGGGGACAGAACATGTGACAGAACAATAACAATACAATGCAAAACATGAGGGGATCGAGGGCCCTGCTCCTTGGAGCTTACAATCTAGGAGGGAGGGGGTGGTGGCACAGGAGGAGATAGCTGTGGGGGATGGAGTGGTAGGAAGAGTGGAGGAGGTCAGCAAGTTAGCAGGGGTGGGGTAGGCTTCCCTGAAGAGATGGGTTTTCAGGGTGCGTCTAAAGGAGAGGAGAGTAGGTGATAATCTGATGGGTTGGGGCAGGGAGTTCCAGAGGATGGGTGACACCCTGGAGAAGTCCTGGAGACGGGCATGGGAGGAGGAGACCAGGGAACTAGAGAGAAGGAGGTCTTGTGAGGAGCGGAGTGTGCGTGTTGGGCGGTACTTGGATATTAGGTCAGTGATGTAGTTCGGGGCAGTGTGGTGGACGGCTTTGTACGTCAGTGTTAGGATTTTGAATTTGATCCGTTGCGCAATCGGAAGCCAGTGGAGGGATTGGCAGAGGGGGGTGGAGGACACTGAGTGGAGGCCAGTGGAGGGATTGGCAGAGGGGGGTGGAGGACACTGAGTGGAGGCCAGTGGAGGGATTGGCAGAGGGGGGTGGCGGAGATGGAGCGGTTGGAAAGGTGAATGAGTCTGGCAGCCGTGTTCAGGATGGACTGAAGAGGGGATAGCCAGCGGCGAGGCAGGCCAGTGAGGAGGGAGTTGCAGTAGTCGAGTCGTGATATGATGAGGAAGTGGATGAGCTGTTTAGTGGTTTCTGGGGTTAGGAACGTGCGGATTTTGGCGATGTTGCGGAGGCGGAGTCTGCATGTTGCGGAGGTGGAGTCTGCACGAGTTTGTTAAAGATTGGACTTGGGGCTGGAAGGATAGGTTGGAGTCCAAAATGACACCAAGTACTCTGGCCTGTGGGGCGGGTTTGATGGTGGCATTGTTGGACGTGATGGAGAAGTCAATGGGGGGGGTGGTGTCCGGGCTGGGGGGATGACAAGAAACTCGGTTTTGGAGAGGTTCAGTTTAAGGAAGTGAAGTGACATCCAATCTGATATGTCGCTCAGTAGGTGTGTGATTCGGGCGGAGACCGAGGGGGTGAGGTGGGGGGTTGAGAGATAGATTTGTGTGTCGTCGGCATAGAGGTGGTAGTTGAAGCCGTGAGAGTGTATGAGTTGGCCAAGGGAGGAGGTGTAGATGGAGAAGAGAAGGGGTCCGAGGACAGAGCCCTGAGGGACCCGAACAGAGAGGGGGGGGAGTGAGGGGGAGGTGGTAGCATTATAGGTAACGCTGAAGGAGCGTTGTGACAGGTAGGATGAGAGCCAGGAGAGAGCAGAATCTCTGAGGCCGAGGGAGTGTAGTTTTTTGAGGAGGAGGGGGTGGTCGACTGTGTCGAAGGCCGCAGAGAGGTCAAGGAGTAGGAGCACTGAATAGTGGCCATTAGCTTTGGCGGTTAGCAGGTCGTTGGAGAGTTTGAGTAAGGCAGTTTCGGTGGAGTGTAGGGGACGGAAGCCGGACTGTAGGGGATCAAGGAGGTTGTTGTCGTTGAGGTGAGAGCATAGGCGGGTGTAGACTAGGCGCTCGAGGAGTTATGACGTCATCACGCATGAGCTTCATCTGCAAACTACAACTAGGATTTCTTCATAGTGGGGGAGATTTATTAAAATTGGAGCACTAAGAATTCGGTGCAGCTGTGCATGGTAGTCAATGAGCTTCTAACTTCAGCTTGTTCAAGTACCCCCGTTTCACATATATGCGTCCGTGCGGGCCACGTTTTGCACGGGCACGAGAGCCCATTCATTTGAATGGACTCCCGTGCCCGTGACACGCAGGGGAAGAAGTCCCTGCATTTCTTTTGAAAACGCAGCCGATGTTCCCAGTACGGTTGCATTTTCCAGTGCGGATGGCGTGCCATTAGAACTGCGGGTCCGCATTTCTCTGTGCGGGTGGTGCGGCTGCATAGAATTTCGTGCGGATCTGTAGCGGCAACACCCGCACAGATGTGAACCTAGCAATAAACCCCAGTGTTTCCTGGGTACAAAAATACATCTAAAACAAATAGATTTTTTTTTTTTTTACACAAGGAAGTTATCTTGTTTATATTGCTCCCTTCACCAGACATCTACAGAGGACGTTGTACAGCCGCACAACCAGCACAATCCGCACTTCAGACGTCCTGATCACACAACCAGCACAATCCGCACTTCAGACGTCCTGATCACACAACCAGCACAATCCGCACTTCAGACGTCCTGATCACACAACCAGCACAATCCGCACTTCAGACGTCCTGATCACACAACCAGCACAATCCGCACTTCATACTTCCTGATCACACAACCAGCACAATCCGCACTTCAGACGTCCTGATCACACAACCAGCACAATCCGCACTTCAGACGACCTGATCACACAACCAGCACAATCCGCACTTCAGACGACCTGATCACACAACCAGCACAATCCGCACTTCAGACGTCCTGATCACACAACCAGCACAATCCGCACTTCAGACGACCTGATCACACAACCAGCACAATCCGCACTTCAGACGTCCTGATCACACAACCAGCACAATCCGCACTTCAGACGTCCTGATCACACAAACCAGCACAATCCGCACTTCAGACGTCCTGATCACACAACCAGCACAATCCGCACTTCAGACGTCCTGATCACACAACCAGCACAATCCGCACTTCAGACGTCCTGATCACACAACCAGCACAATCCGCACTTCAGACGTCCTGATCACACACCCCGCGCCCACGTGGTGACTAAACCCAGAGCTGGCGAGCAGATAATAATTCTATACATCATTAATAAATACATTAAGATGCTGATAAACATTGGCAGCCTGGCCTGGCAAGATATCAGCGTTAAGTCTTGCCAAGAAAATTTCTGGAATTCACAGCAGACGGCGGCCCCGGGGGGTTCTGTCACATTCTGCTATATTTACACAAATTCCCTTATTTACTAATCTGGAAAATGACCAAAAACCCTCCTATAGAATCATCGCTAAATTCAGAATGTTTTATGTAGGCAGGAACAAATACGGTGAGTGCCGGGAGGGAGAAAAAACGAGTTTTAGTCATATACAGCTAATAAGAGGAAAAACACAAATTAGTAACAATTGCAACACACCATAGACCGACGAGGGCCCGCCCAGCACAGCGTACATAAACGCCGAACTCAGACGTCATCATGTGTGCCCATATTATACAGTCACAGGAGAGGTGCCTGGACTGTATATACACTATATTGCCAAAAGTATTGGCCCTGCCCTCCCAATCATGTGATTCAGGTGTTCCAATCCCCTCCATATCATGTGATTCGGGTGTTCCAATCCCCTCCATGGACACAGGTGGATACCATCAAGCCCCTAGGCATGCAGGCTGCTTCTACAAACATTGGTGAAAGAATGGGTCGCTCTCAGGAGCTCAGTGACTCCAAGCGTGGTCCCGTGATAGGTGGTCACCTGGGCAAAAAGTCCATCCGTGACATTTCCTGGCTACTAAATATTCCACGCTCAACTGTTAGTGGGATTATAACAAAGTGGAAGCAACTGGGAACAACAGCCACTCAGCCACCAAGTGGTAGGCCACGTCACATGACAGGGCGGGGTCAGCGCATGCTGAAGCGCACAGTGCGCAGAAGTCACCAACTGTCTACAGAGTCAATAGCTAAAGAACTCCAAACTTGGTGTGGCCTTCAGATGAGCCCAACAACAGTGTGTAGAGAGCTTCATTGAATGGGTTTCCATGGCCGAGCAGCTGCATCCAAGCCTTCCATCACCAAGTGCAATGCAAAGCGTTGGATGCCGTGGTGTAAAGCACGCCGCCACTGGACTCTAGAGAAGTGGAGACGTGTTCTCTGGAGTGACCAATCACGCTTCCCTGTTTGGCAATCCGACGGACGTGTCTGGGTTTGGCAGTGGCCAGGAGAATGGTACTTGCCTAACTGCACTGTGCCAAGTGTAAAGTTGGTGGAGGGGGTATTATGGGGTGGGGTTGTTTTTCAGGGGTTGGGCTTGGCCCCCTAGTTCCAGTGAAGAGAACTCTTAAGGCGTCAGCATACCAAGACATTTTGGACAATTTCATGCTCCCAACTTTGTGGGAAGAGTTTGGGGATGGCCCCTTCCTGTTCCAACATGACTGCGCACCAGGGCACAAAGCAAGGTCTATAAAGACATGGAGGAGCCAGTTTGGGGTGGAGGAACTTGACTGTCCTGCACAGAGTCCTGACCTCAACCCCATAGAACACCTTTGGGATGAATTAGAGTGGAGACTGCGAGCCAGGCCTCCTCCCCCGACATCAGTGCCTGACCTGACAAATGTGCTTCTGGAAGAATGGTCCAACCTTCCCATAGACACCCTCCTAAACCTTGTGGACGGCCTTCCCAGAAGAGTTGAAGCTGTTATAGCTGCAAAGGGCGGGGCCAACTCAATACCCTACAGACTAAGACTGGGGGGGCCATTAAAGTTCATGTGCGTGGAAAGGCAGGCCGACCACACCGCCCGTCATTGCCCTCAAATTATACATAGGACACAATGGTCACCATTCATATATGCACAATATCAACAGATACCGAGAATTACACCTGGCATACAGGACAAGAGAAGTAGTATTGTGCAGAGTCCATACATACAGAATAAAAATAGATATCGGTTAGCACTTCCGCCTGGCAGTACTCGGGTCGTTGGTTTGAATCCCAACCATGGCCCCACTTGCCTGGACTTTGCATGTTCCCACTGTGCCTGCGTCGGTTTCCTCCCACACTCCAAAGACATGCTGGTAGGTGAATTGGCTCCTGTCTAAACTGGCCCTAGTATGTGTATGTATGAATGTGAGTTAGGGACCTTAGATTGTACGCCCCTTGAGGGTTAGGGACCTTAGATTGTACGCCCCTTGAGGGTTAGGGACCTTAGATTGTACGCCCCTTGAGGGTTAGGGACCTTAGATTGTACACCCCTTGAGGGTTAGGGACCTTAAATTGTACGCCCCTTGAGGGTTAGGGACCTTAGATTGTACGCCCCTTGAGGGTTAGGGACCTTAGATTGTACGCCCCTTGAGGATTAGGGACCTTAGATTGTACGCCCCTTGAGGGTTAGGGACCTTAGATTGTACGCCCCTTGAGGGTTAGGGACCTTAGATTGTACGCCCCTTGAGGGTTAGGGACCTTAGATTGTACGCCCCTTGAGGGTTGGCGACCTTAGATTGTACGCCCCTTGAGGGTCAGGGACCTTAGATTGTACGCCCCTTGAGGGTTAGGGACCTTAGATTGTACGCCCCTTGAGGGTTAGGGACTGATGTGAATGTACAATATATATGTAAAGCGCTGTGTAAATAAGTACGCGTAGTAAATAAATGACACCTGACATACAGGACAGGAGAAGTGGAACTGTTCAGTCCATACATACAGAATAAGATCTGCACACAGAACATTCACTCTTCATTGTCACAAGGGATCTGCATGGACCACATACCACTAGAAGAATAGCAAGGAAAGAAAATCTTCGACACGTCTCTTATCGCCATTACCGATTGGACCGTTCATCTCCATACAGGTAGAATCTGGCCGGAAATGAAATTCTGATGCCATATATCTGATGTGAAGGAATGTCTTATCACTGCCGCCAATTCACTGAAGTTTGCAGTAAAATTGATCGGAGGAAAGTTTTATTACGGTTATGTATGGCCGGGCGTTAAGCTGCGATAAGAAAGGCAGGAGAGCGGACAGAAAAATGATAAACAATGGTTTTAAATTCAATTTCCATTTTAATTAGAAATTGCTCGCAACTCTTTCTGGTTCAATATGTCTGGCTAATTAAAAGAAAAATGGCAGCGCTGGCCGGCGGTCGTTTCATGGTGATGTCGCTACAAATATTAATCACAAACTTTACAAGCAATGGAGAGATTTTATCAGTCGTTAATTCCGGCTCCGCGCAGTTCTTTATCACTCCGGAGGAGACAAGGCGATGATTTCTGCGTTATCTCAAAATGGCTCCTTCACAGCTTCATTAAACCCTGGATATCCGTCATGCAGATAGCGGTGGACTCTGCGCTTTTGCCGCTGACTATTCCTCTGCTGGCGCTCAATAGGGAGTCAGGAAACCAGAAGAGGCACAACCCATAGGACAGTGGGATACTATAGCAGGACTAAAAATCTGGGCAGATCAGACACAACATATGAAGACTGCGTCAGGGAATTCCTATAGTGAAATGGGCATGCCAGAACGATCAACAGATGCAGAGACAGAGGTGGTTGAGGTTGTGCACCAATCACAGTCCAGTTGGAGTAAAAACCAAGCTTGAAAGGACATTTGCCATATCTTGGGCCTTCTTGTTGGTCATTCAATGTTGGGGTTGACTTTTCTAACCAAAAGCAATCCTCTGAAGGGATGGACTAAACTCTACTAACAAAAGAAGTTAAAGTGAACCTAAATCCAGGAATGAAAATATTGAAGCTTAGCAGTCCCTCTCAATTGGCGTTATGCATCCAAGGTGCTGTGAACACGGGACAGTTTACCATGGATCAATGTTATGCCTTGCCATGATGGATCAGTGTCATGCCTTGCCATGATGGATCAATGTTATGCCTTGCCATGATGGATCAGTGTCATGCCCTGCCATGATGGATCAGTGTCATGCCTTGCCATGGTTTGGGTGGGTTAGCCACCAGTACCATAACAACCAAAGAAGCTCTAGGGCCAGGAAGCGCAGTGTTCCGCCTGCACCATGGCTATATGCATGGTGAGCAAGGGCAGGCTGTATGTAGGGTCACCCCCCAGCATTCAGAAAAGGACAGAAACGCACCTCTGTCCAAACTCGCTCAGCCTCCTCCACAATGCTGCTGGAGGAAGGTAGGGCTCTGATGGGAAGAGGGGACTATGTCATGGAGGGGGGGAACCTTTGATGTGAAGGAGGGACTTTGATGTGAAGGGAACCTATGATATGATGGGGGGGGGGGGGACCTCTGATGTGATGGAGACTCTAATGTGATAGAGGAGCCTCTAATGTAATGGGGGGACCTCTGATGTGATCAGATTCTGATGTGATGGGGGTACCTCTGATGTGATAGGGGAGCCTCTGATGTGATAGGGGAACCTCTGATGTGATCAGATTGTGATGTGATGATGGGGGGGACCTCTGATGTGACGGAGACTCTAATGTGATAGGGGAGTCTCTGATGTGATGGGGGGACCTCTGATGTGATGGGGGGACCTCTGATGTGATGGGGGGACCTCTGATGTGTTGGGGGGACCTCTGATGTGATCAGATTGTGATGTGATGGGGGGACCTCTGATGTGACGGAGACTCTAATGTGATAGGGGAGCCTCTGATGTAATGGGGGACCTCTGATGTGATCGGGGTGCCTCTGATGTGATGGAAGAACCTGTGAAGTGGTCAGATTCTGATGTGATGGAGACTCTGATTTAATAGGGGAGCCTCTGATGTGATGGGGGGACCTCTGATGTGATGGAGGAACCTCTGATGTGATCAGATTGTGATGTGATGGGGGAACCTCTGATGTGATCAGATTGTGATGTGATGGGGGGACCTCTGATGTCACGGAAACTCTAATGGGATAGGGGAGCCTCTGATGTAATGGGGGGACCTCTGATGTGATGGGGGAAACCTCTGAAGTGATCAGATTCTGATGTGATGGGGGGGACCTCTGATGTGAAGGTTGTGTGCATTGTCCTAGGCTCAGGAGTCTCACTGATAAGTAACATTTACATTTGTTATGTTTCAGACATGGGGGCCTCGATATTTTGCATAACTTTAAAGGGGGCCACAACTGACAAAAGGTTGAAGATTAAACAATAACTAGTAAGCTCTGTCCCTTCAGTCAGCCTATCAGATAAATGGGACTTTCCTTCCAACAATCTGATACCTTTGCTGAAATGTCAGAGAAATTTGATTAATCCACTTGATCACAAAATCTGGCAGTTCACATACATGACTTGTGTGTGCCGTATTTTGTCATACAGGGAGAGAGAAGATGATAAAGTTATTAATTATTTAAAGAGAGGAAAAGACAGCTGTAGATTCAGCTCCAAACTCCCCGAAACAAGAGGAGAGAATGGCTGATCTGAAGCTTTAAAAGTGACCCCGTCTTTGTAGATGAAAAGAGGAATCCTGATTTATGATCGGTCAGCTGCCGGCCACCTTTTATTTTTCTATTGAAAGCAACACTAGAGAGAGAGAGAGAGAAGGAGGGAGAGAGAAGGAGGGAGAGAGAGAGAGGGAGAGAGAGGAGGAGGAGAGAGAGAGAGGAGAGGAGAGAGAGAGAGAGGGAGAGGAGAGAGAGAGGGAGAGGAGAGAGAGAGGGAGAGGAGAGGAGAGAGAGGGAGAGGGAGAGGAGAGAGAGGGAGAGGAGAGGAGAGAGAGGGAGAGGAGAGAGAGAGAGAGAGAGGAGAGGAGAGGGAGAGGAGGAGAGAGGAGGAGAGGGAGGGAGAGGAGAGAGAGAGGAGGAGAGAGAGAGAGGAGGAGGAGGAGGAGAGAGAGAGGAGATAGAGGGAGAGGAGAGAGAGGGAGATAGAGGGAGAGGAGAGAGAGGAGAGAGAGAGAGAGAGAAAGAGAGGAGAGAGAGAGAGGAGAGAGAGAGAGAGAGAGAGAGAGGAGGGGAGAGAGAGAGAGAGAGAGAGAGAGAGAGAGAGAGATGAGCAGAGAGAGGAGCAGAGAGAGGACAGAGAGAGAGGAGCAGAGAGAGGACAGAGAGAGAGGAGCAGAGAGAGGAGCAGAGAGAGGAGGGGGGGAGCG